CCTCCCTTGTCTGCCGACCTTGGTAGCAGCACAAAACAGTGCTTCTTATCAGCTTTCTTCTGAGCACAAATCCAAAACACAGCCGCTCGCTAGCTGTTATGAAGAAAGTTAACTCTGTCTCTGCTTAACCCAGGACAACACCTCACACTAAAATCCCTCCTTCCTCAACCTGTTTATTGCAGACACCATGCTAATTTCATATCATAATTTAAAAAATAAAAAACAACAAAAATCCCACCTCACTTACAGTGAAATGAATAAAATGCACCAAAGCCAAACCTTTCCTACTTGAGAGTAAGAATCATGAGAGATGCTACTATGCCTAACATTGTCAGACAAAACTACATTGGCACTGGATTATCACTTCTCTTTCCTCGTAAGCACATTTTCCATTCTAAGGAGTTCTTAAGGTTTACCTACACTGGAGACAGCTGTTACATCTCAGACTTAGGTTGATTATTCAGATAATGGTCAATTTACTGGCTGTCACATTCTCTAACAATTTTATATTAAATGTAGAATCATATTTTCAAGATCTTCCTGGGATACATTCAAGAAAATCCCTTATTTCCCAAATCATAATTTATCTTTTTCACCATGGCAAGAATCATAATTAATATGGAAGAGATATACAGCTTCTCAGGTGGCAATTTAATTCACTGATTTGCAGAATTCTCTTCTGTTTAGGAAGGACAAGGTTTAAATTATGGCATTCCAATACTCTAGCAACTTTTTAAGGTTTTTTCCTGACTATCATTTTTTCATACTATTAGTAGTTAGTCTTTCAGAGAGAAATGTTGAAAAGAAATGTGAAGACAAGGAATGGAAAAAGGTAAACTGAAAATTTATTACACTCAAATATTTCATGCTTCTTCCCCTATCAAGTGGGCACTGAATCTTATATTTCATGTATAATTAAGGTCTCAGCAGAATAGGTAAGTTGCATTTTGCAATTTTACAGTATTTGGTCTCGAGTTTTAACATTGCTTTCTATTTTATCGTAAATAATATATATTACAAGCCTGCCCTCCCAAAACATGCCAAACTGCTTTTAAAACATATTTATTTTTATTAACAGTAAGGGCAAAAGATGTGGAAAGGACAGTAAACTCCTTGCTAATGTTCTCTCTAAGCTATTGAAGAAGAGTTCTGACGAACGACATAATTATCTTCAACTTTAGAAGCAAATAGATATTTAAAATCTTTCTGTACTGCAGTAGCTTAGGCTTGGCTCACTGTCACATTTCACTTTAAGTAGCTTAGGCATCAAAGGAAAGACTGAGAAATTGATAGATCTTAACTTAGTAGGAATGGATCACCCAACAGACTAGTTTGAGCTGAAAGCAGGTCCACAGTCAAGACATTGTTTAGTCCAGACGAATGTTTTATTTAAAGCGGAGTATTTGGATGATAATATGCAGGTCCATAAATGTTAAGCAAAAAGTGGTAACTGCTCTCTGATCCGGACTGTGGCAAGAATAAGAGAACTAATCCTTCTCTTAAAATTAGTGATATTAAGCAAATAATAACAACAACAAAAACCTCATGCAAAATTGAGGATATTTGGGACTATCAGTTTGACTGTGTGAACATTTACTATAATTCGACTAACATTTTTCCTTATCACACTTTTAACTGTTCCTCTGCAAAAGCCTGTTTAAATGCTTAATTTAAGGTTAACGCAATTTAAAATGTCACAGTATCTAATAACCTTAGTATCATAAAATTTAAAGGACCAATGGTATATGATAAATTAAATCTGCTGAGATATGTAAGTTCTTCTCCAGTGTACAATCTTAAAAAACAGAGTCAGTTTAATGACCCCTGAGGCACATTACTGATGATCAGCCTTCAGCTGGACTTTGTACCACTGACCATAACCTTTTAAGCCTGACAGTTCAGCCTAGTTTCAGTCCACTTCACTGTCCTTTTATTCAGCTTGTACTTCATCAGTTTGTTTATGAGGATGTTACGGAAGGCTGTTGAAAGCCTTGACAAAGTTGAGACAAGCAACACGTACTGCTCTTCACCTCTTCTCTGAGCTAGTCATGTCATTGTGGAAGACAATCAGGTTGGTCAAGCATGATTTCCCCTTTGTAAATTCATGCTCACTACTCACAAACAATTTCTTGTCCTTCATATATTGAGAAACAGTTTCCAAGATTATTTACTCCATTACCATCCCAAGAAACAAGACGAGGCTGACTGGTCTGTAGCTCCCCAGATCATCCCTCTTTCAGATAGGAATGAATTTTCTTTCTTCGAAACCTCTTCCAAACTTCCTCGATTGTCCTGACCTTTGCAAGATTACTGAGTGTGGTCTTGCAATGACACCAGCCAACTCCCTCAGCACTTGTTGGCGCATCCCATCAGGTCCCATGGACTTGTGTTTGTCCAGCTTGTCTAAGTGCTCCCTTAGGATCCTCCTCCTTCACCAAGGCTAAGTCTTCCTTGCCCCATATCACTCAGCACTAATCTTACCAGTAAAGACCAAGGCAAAGAAGGCATTGACTACCTCAATCTTTTCTGAGTCCTTTGTCATCAGATCCTCTGCCCCATTTAGCAGAAAGAACAGCGCAGTAGGAGAAACCTACTTATTCTGAGGCAGCAAAAGCAAAAAAGTAAAAGGAAAGGGAAAGCTAAATCAGAGCATTCAAAGAGATATTGAGGCAGGTCATCTGTGGAGCCGAACAGTATAAGATCACACAGTTAAGAACTTTCATAATGCAGAGGTATAAGATTAAGACTATGAATGTCATAATTTGTCAGAATTTTCTCATTTTTAAAAAAAATATTATATCTTTAGCAATGCTAATTTTTGTAGGTTTGTGAGATGAATGGAAACAGAAGCAAAAGAAAATGGTATGCTCATGTGCATACACCAAGCTATTTCTGTGTGACCTATAGCAAACAGAATATAGAACCAATAAATGAAAAAAAGCTATATACAACTTAATATAGCAAGGCAGGATCTATAAATTCCCACAAACAGAAAGCATATGTAATCTCTGCCTTCTCATTCCAATCTTGCACTTTTCTGAAAGCGCAAAGGTATAACTAAGAGAAATTCTAAGAGAGAACTGTAACACAGATAAATGTCCCCTAGCACTAAGCACAAAATTAATTTTCACCTGTGACCCAGAGTCAAATCTGCAACCAGGTCTGCACAAACTGATAAATTCACCTACTGAGTTATATGTCATACTAACATGATTTAATAGAAGTTATTATTTTCTGAGAACTCCACTATTGTAATTAAATTGTTCTTTTCAGGTGCCAGTTTTGGGGAGCCTTTAGAATCAACTAATTGCAAAAAATCCTACTTTACAATTGCTGATAACTCTATGACAACTCATTAAAAAAACCAAACCATTTTAATATTCTACTTTATTACATGCTCTTAGGCAAATAAAATGACACTTGGAATAATTGGCTCCTTAAAACTCATCATCAGTAGATATTCCACTCAGACTGAGTCATTTGGGTTTTTTTTCCCAGTAGTGTCCACTAGATCTGCACTTTCTGGTTCAGATCCACTCCTCTCGTCTTTAGACATTATAACTCAATTAAAAGTTTAATGTTAAGTAAGGTGCATTTTGATGTTTATATTCTCTCCACTGAGTTCCCACAGGACAGAACAAGGCTAGTTTTGCCTCAATAGGTATTACTAGAGTCTACCATAAAGAGAACAGAAAGTGAGGTTGAGGAGTATATCCATGCAATATCCATGCTGAGCCACAACACTGGCCCCGTATCTAGCCATTCTCTCTGCAAGTTGTCATCTATACACACATGGGACTCAGATAACACCCAACAGAGCAGAGTGCTCATGACTGTAAAACAGCTCCACTAAAGCAGGCACTAGACAAAGACAATAAAAGAACACATTGCAAATACACCTACTTACTGAAGGGCATGTCACCTTAGCTAAGGAAGCTCCCCAAGTTAATCATAAGATCAGACCCAAACTATGAGCTGACAGCTAGAAATCTATTTCTATTAGATGTAAGGAGTATAGACTCACCTTTCAATTTTATCAGAAGAATTATTCAACACATTTGAGAATTTCTTGTGTAATTTGCTTCCATATAGATAAAATGAGAAAAGCAATGTGATATTCAAAGCATATACAAGGTAGAGAATATGCCCAAATAAGACTTATGGAAGATGACAGGCAAATATATTATCCATAATTCATACAGTTCAGAAATCACTGAAGGCAAAAATGATGCTAGACAATCTTTTCCTTATGTGGCTTATGAGTCATTCTTCTGGAGTTCTTCCCTGATAAGCATCAGATTGCCCTTTCTTGGTGTTAACTGCCCATCCAAAAACAATACTGAAAGAGACAGTGAACTTAGGGTCAAGAAGCAAAAGGGAGAAATCATACAGGGAAATAGAAGTAATAATTACTACTGGTTGAACAGTTATCAGATTTCAATACCAGAACTGCCTAGGTCAGTATTAAACAGAACAGGTCATTTTTTTCTAACCTTAATCAAGCATCATGTGGTGTCAAACTGACCTTGCAAGTAGGATAATATTTATAATCTGGAACCTTGGTCTCCATGGCTTTCCTAAATGGCATTAGAAAAAAGGCAATATAAAAATTATCCTAAAAATTCTGAAAAGCCAACTTTCAAACACATGACTATAGGCACAAATACTAACAACTGCACCTGACTATAGACAGGAAAATTAAGATAAAATGATTACTGTTAGCATTTCCTTACTGAGATCATTAATGGAAAGAAGAAAGTGAGAAGGTTCACCACACTTCATCCTTTATGCCTAGTTAGAAACTATAAGAACACATAGAACACAGAAGATACTTCATTAACAGTGCTAGTCAAAAGATGCTGATCTTGGAACAGAAAAATAAAAGGAAAGGAAATATGTATGGGTAGGCCATAACTTATCCCCCAAAAATACTTTTCAGTAATTTTAAAAGTCTACAAATTAGTACTAGAAGGAAGAGCATAGTGAAAGAATTATTTCACCTTTTTGACAATCTCTCCACACAATTTTTCGATACTTCTCATAATGTTTATTCAACCAGGTGAGGATGGTTCGTTCATATGGAGAATATATATTGCTGGATAAAGGTTCTAACTTTATTCTTGGCATGCTGTGAAGACTTTCCAAGCTGAACAGATCAGTGATATTATGCGAAGAAACACGTTGAAGAACAAAGACCTGAAATTAAAAAAAACGGTTTTTAAGCAAAAACTGTAAAAAGAACAATTTTAAGTTGAATGATAAAAAAACCACTTCAAACTCTAAAGGTTTCCTAATTTAGAAAAGGTTTAAGAGATTACACATTAGCATAAATGTATAACACACAAGAGAACAGATTTGCTGAGGTTTTAGGGAATTCCTTTGCTTCCTTAAACAATACGCAAACTGAAGCTTCCAAATGCTCTTGGGAGTCTGGAGAGGTCCCAGTCAAGTGGAAGCTGGCAAATGTTTCCCCAACTTTCATGATGGGAAAGAAGGAAGACCCTGGTAAATACAGACCTCTCAGTCTTATTTCAGTGCCTGGTAACATTATGGAGAAGGTTATTCTAAAAGTTATTGAAAAACACTCAAGAGACAACGCAGTAATTGGTCATAGCATGGGTTCATGAGAGGAAAATCCTGCTTAACCAACTTAATTTCCTTTTATGACAAGGTCGCTCATCTAGTTGACCAAGGGAAGCCAGCAGATGTGGGTTTTTTGGATTTTAGCAAAGCTTTTGATCCTGTCTCTCACAGTATCCTTTTGGACAAAAGGATCAGTATACAGCTAGACAAGTCAATACAATTGGCTGACAGGTCGGACTCAAAGAGTTATATTAAATGTGGTTACAGCAGGCTGGCATCCAGTCACCAGTGGGGTTACCCAGGGCTCAATTTTAGGGCTATGCTCATTAATGTTTGTATAAATGATCTGGACACAGAAATCAAATGTACATTAAGTTTACTGATTATACTAAACTAGGAGCAGCTGTGGACTCCCTCAAGAAAGGCCTTACAGAGATCTGGAGAGACTAGAGAGCTGGGCGGTCACCAACTGTTTAAAACTGAACAAGAGGAAGTGCCATGTTCTGCACCTGGGACAGGGTAATACTACTAAAACATACAAATTGTGGAATAAGAGGCAGGAGAGTAGCCCCATGAAAAGAGATCTGGTGGTCTGGGTTGATGGTAAGTTGAACATGAGTCAACAGTGTGCCCTGGCAGCCAAAAGGGCCAACCACATCCTGGGGTTTATCAAGCACAGCATAGCTTGCCAGTCGAGGGAGGTGACTGTGCCGATCTGCACTGGTGTGGACCCACTTCAAGTACTGTGTGCAGTTTTGGGTGCCTCAAGGTAAGAAGGACATCCGACTACTAGAGTGTGTCCAGAGGAGGATGACCAAGATGGTGAAATGTCTCGAGGGCAAGACTTAGGAGGAGCAGCTGAGGTCACTTGGTTTGTTCAGCTTGGAGAAGAGAAGGCTGAGAGGTGCCCTCAGTGAAGTCTACAACTTCCTCAAGGGGGGCAGTGGAGGGGGAGATGCTGATCTCCTCTCTCTGGTGATCAGCAATAGGACATGAGGAAACAGAATTAAGCTACATCAGAGAAGCTGAGATTGGACATTAGCAAAAGGTTCTTCACTGAGAGGGTGGTTGGTCACTGGAACATGCTCCCCAGGCAGGAGGTCATGTCACCAAGTCTATCAGATTTCCAGAAGTGTCTGGACAATGCTCCTAGTCACTTGGTTTAATTTTAGGTAGATCTGTAAGGAACAGGGAATCGGACTCAATGATCCTTATGGGTCCCTTCCAACTTGAAATCTTTTATAATTCTATGATTCTAAATATTTTTTGTTTCCAACTTTTTTCAAAGTTTTGATGAACTGGATGAAATCACTGGACCCACACGGACTCCAAGAATTACTACATATATTCTATCCAAAGCACTAATTACTGAACTGCTATACTGATCTCCAGTGCAATCTATAGACAGTCTTGAAATGGTATCTTTCATGACCCAGTTGTTCATTTAGGTCCAAATTACACTGACTGTTTCTCCTGAAAAAATAAATGTTATAATGCCTACAGTAAAATTCATGGTACTCAGAGGTTCTAGATTAAGTATTGCACTAATGTACATTTAGTAAAATATTTAAAAACGTATGTACATAAATAAGAAATATAAAGAAGTTAAAAGTAAAAATTCTGCACAATACCTTTGATCAATTTTTTTTACCAACTGAAATTACAGCATAGGAAAAGGTATTTGAAGGAGAAATACAGGACTTGATTTTGAGGACGATGATGAAGTCAACAGCTCTGGTTCCATCCTCCCTCATTAAAAAGGTCTCAGGACTGACCACCCTGACCAGTGACTAAGACTATTGAGGACCATGGCCATAAATGTTAACTATACTGCATCAGCTCCATAGAGTCATATATTTCCAGATAATTCAGGATGAGTTTGTTAAGGTTTAACTGTTTGGAGGAGGAAAAAAAGAAGGAAAAAAAAAAGACTAAAAATGAATAATTGACAATGTCTATTAACAATGAACGTCAATCCAGTAATATGTTATTTTGAAGTGTGAATTGGGCACAGTTTCTCAGTCCCATAAACCCTCCCAATTATGTCTAATTCCCTGATACATATATACATAAAGAAAAGGCTATTTAATTTCATCTAATCAAAATTAAAACAGCTTGCACCCCTTTTATAATTGTTTCTCTTTATATTAGTTTCCAATACCAGATGTTAACAGATATATTAGACAAAGCATTGGTTTCTTGAGGCAAAGTGTTGAAACTTTTCAGTCCCTCCATTTGCTGCAGATGGAGAGCAAGTTTCTTACATACAGGAAAATACAGCTACAGCCATGTGGCTTCACAGCTTCCATAATTAAATTTGGATTTCTTTTTTTTCCAGACAACATGAAGGACTGTCATCCATTGCTTTCAAGTCTTTCTGAAGAAAACCTTTTGTGATATCCTAATATACAAAACCTAGTTAACTATTCATGTACATGAGACACGAATTATAGTATCCATATTTAATTAATTTTTTTAAAAAAATTGAGTCACCATCTATTTGTAAGCACCACCCTAATCCAGTAGTTCTAGCATAAGGAAAGGGGCACAAAAATGCAGACAGGAAAACTTTTTTCCCCAAGTTCTAAGACATGTCTTTTCAGTAGTAGTCCACACCTACATTAGTGTAAATTCATGATGATGCTTTGATCTCAGATACTGGAAAGTCTACAAAGTTTATTTAACAAGTTTTCACTTGACATGCACACACAGAAGAAAATAGTAAAAAGAATTAAAACTTTTACTGTAAAGTTAAGGCACCAGCCAAGCTGAACCATTGCCACCTGCAAAACAGTATTTAATCATATCATCATTTTTAGAAGATTAAAAAGCCGCAGATTTAAGTAAGCACTTAGTGCACAACTTCAATTCATTTTTCACATCCTATCTTGCACCTCACTTTACATTTTAAGCCCTTCAAAGTAAGTAGGTTTGCTTCATGAGAACATAACCAATAAACCTCCATCTTTCTCCCTGCATCTTCTTCCTAACCACAGACATCTTGGGTAAACCATTCAGCTACACCACAGCACACAACTGCAGATCCACGCATACAAAAACCAAAAGGAAATAAACCCCACACACCAAAAAAAAACTCAACAAAATCCAAACTTTTTTGTTTAAGCTAAAAATTCAATGAAGACATTTGTATTCTTCACAACAATGATCTGATTTTATGTTCTTATAAAGAACAGGTGAGCATCAAACGATCAGCTGCTTGATTTCATACCCTATGATCTTATCTTTGAAGGAGCAGACTAATTACAGCTGGGTTTGGCTGTTGTTAATAGTGTGGCCACTCTCTGACAAAGTTGAGAAAATATGCAAAGAAAATATCTTGCTTAAATTAATTAGGTAATGTTTTCCTATTATGTGATCATACTAAATAAAGCACAAGATTCAAATGTGGTAAACAAATATCTTCATTGGTTTGATTTATTAGGCTTAAACAAAATTTCAACAGACCCCATTTCCAACAATACAAAAAATAATGATACACTACAGAAATGATCAAATTAAAAATTCATTTTTTATTTTTGGTTTGAAGATGTCTTTAAACTGTTACTGTAAGAAGTACTAGAAATTATCTTAACTGGCAAATTGAAATTATTAATAATTTGATCAAAACTGAAGTTAACTTCTCTTTTACCTAGACATCAATAACATTATCAAAACAAAAAGTATAAATGTTCTAACAGCTGAAACTTTTTGATAGTACACATGTGAATGTTTAAAGTTTATTTCCCAATATACCTCTGGTGGGTTGAACTTGGCTAGCTGCCAGGTGACCAGCAACCTGCTCTATCACTCCCCCTGCTCAACTGGACAGCAGGGCGAAAATATGACAAAAGGCTCATTGGTTGAGATAAGGACAGGGAGATCACTCAGCAATTACTATTACAGGGAAAACAGACGCAGCTTAGGGAAATTAATTAAATTTATTGCCAATCTAAATCAGAGTAGGATAATGAAAAATAAGAAAAATCTTAAAACACCTTTCCCCCTGCCCCTCCTTTATTCCTGATCCCAACTTCACTCCCCGTTTTCTCTACTGGCTCCCCACCAAGTGGCACAAGGGGACAGGGAATGGGGGTTGCAGTCCGTTCATTACACGTTCTCTCTGCTACTCCTTCCTCCTCATGCTCTTCTGCTGCAGCATGAGGTCCCACCCACAGGAGACAGTCTTCCACAAACAACATGGGTCCTTCCCAGGGCTGCAGGGAATTGCTTCTTCATTAATTTCTCCAGATGGATAATTTCCATGGGGTGCATTCCCTCAGGCACAGACTGCTACTGCATGTGTCCCCCGTGGGGTCACAAGTCCTGCCAGCAAACCTTCTTCAGCCTGGGCTCCTCTTTCCATGGGGCCACAAGTCCTGCCAGGAGGCTGTTCTAGTGAGGGCTTCCTACAATGTCACAGACTTCTTTGGGTTTATTCACCTGCTCCAGCATGGGATCCTCCAGGGGCTGCAGGTGTATCTCTGCTCCCCCATTACCCCCATGGCTGCAGGGGCACAGCTGCCTCACCATGGGCTGCACCACGGGCTGCAGGGGAACCTCTGCTCCGGCACCTGGAGCACCTCCTGCCCTCCTTCTGCACTGGCCTTGGTGTTGGCAGAGTTGTTTCTCTCACATATTCTCACTCCTCTGTTCTGGCTGGTGTTGCTCAGCAGTTTTTCCCCCCCTTCTTAAAATGTTGTCACAGAGGTGCTACCATCATCATTGATGGGCTCAGCCTTGGCCAGTGGCAGGTCTGTTTTGGAGCTGGCTGGCATTGACTCTATCAGACACAGGGGCAGCTGCTCGCATCTTCTCACTGAAGCCACCCCTGTAGGCCCCCTGTTGCCAAAACCTTGCCACATAAATACAATATAACACTCAACTGAATCAAGCCATTTCAGGTTATCTATTTCTTAGAATTTAATCTCATTAGGAAAAAAAAAATATCAAAACCAAACCAAAACAACACAACACACGTGCATACTATAATTTTGGGGTTTTTCTGCTCTGTGCTAATCTTTCATGTAGCTATGAATAATTCATCAAATTGAAAGAATAGCAATCACTATGTTTGCATTTTTGCACGTCCATGTTCCCATGTGTCCTTAGGGTTATCCGTCTCAGCCCATGCATACATAGTTTGCTGTCTGTTGTTCTCTCAGCTATCTTTCTCATTTTTTTTTTATTTTATATGAACTCTACATCTTTGTTACATACCTTCTTTAAGATAACTTTAGTCATTCTTTATTATGCTTTTTCAGCAAATAATCACAAAATCACAGAATAGTTGAGGATGAAAGGCACCTCTGGAGATTGTCTAGTCCAAACCTCCTGCTCAAAGCAGAATCAGCCAGAGTGGGTTGCCAGAATGATGTTCAGTTGGGTTTTGGATATCACCAAGGATGGAATTTCCACAGCCCCTCTGGGCAAACTGTTCCAGTGTGTGACCACCCTCACTGTGAAAAAGTTTCTTATGTTTATATGGGATTTCCTGTACTTCAGTTTGTGCCTACTGCCTCTCACCACGTCAGTGGACAGTACTGAGAAGCATCTGATGCTGTCTTCTCTCCAGATATTTACACACATTGATAAGATCCCCCTTGAACCTTTTCTTTTCCTGGCAGAACAATCTCAGCTACCTCCATCTCTCCCAGTATAGCAGGTGCTCCAGTCTCTTAAATCATCTTTGGGACCCTTCACTGGAGTCACTCTCTAGTATGTCTGTTTGTCTTGTACTGGGAAGCCCAGAAAATATCTATATTTTTAAATTATTTTCTCTCCCTTTGAATAGAAATAAATATTTATTTTTAGGTATACACATGTTACTGATTGTTGGTGAGCACATCAGATTTACTTTGGGAAATACAATTTAGACATCCAAAATTTTTATCTACAATCAGTAAGAATAAAATTGAATAAAATCTGATAAGTCCATACTGACCAAGTTCATTACATCTTGAAAGAATTATATAAAAAATGTTTACCTGTTAAGAAATTCCATTCTAATACAAGATAATAAATATCATGGTTATGTATACATCTAGTCAACTAAGTATTTCCAGCAAAAAGCATTTCTAACCAAGGTAACAAAAAAGCGTGGTAGGGTTTAATAAAAGATTTCTATAACATTTAATTCTACAAAATGCAGACTGCTCTAACATAGCATTTGCTAACTGAAACATATTAACACAGCTAAAGTTTCAGAACTAAGAAAATGAAAATGTTCTCACTCATATTTTTCTTGTCTGATAGAGAGAGATAAAATACTTAGGAGTATTTAGTTTTAAAGATGTTTGGGAAAAAAAACACTTGACCCTACCACAGATGTTTTTCAAAACAAAGTTTTTTGCCATCAGTTCTTCAGAATTTAAGTAGTAAATGTATCTACAATTTACCTTGTATGTCTGCAGTAGCACATCTGTCCAAGCTCGTTTGCTCATTCTCTCAAATATGCTGTCCTCCAGAATGAATAGATGCTTGTCACTAAATATGTCTGAGTTTTTCACATCTCCTTTTTTCAACTCAGCTGTGTGACCCTTCAGATAAAAGACTGGGATTTATTTTCTATATTTATTTCAGCAGTTTGGATAGGAAACTCACAAGAGGACAATAATGAATCAAAGGCATAAATGACTGATAACATCAACTATAGTACAACAGTGATCAGCACTAGAATAATTTACAGTTTACTGCTATCTCAGGCATAAGAAGCACAATACAGAATTGACAGGAGTAGAAAGCAGTAATCAGGACAGAGAGGCAACACAAAGAATATTTTTTTTAAATTGGTAAAATCAGTAGAAACCAGACAAATTAATTCTATTTTGAGAAAATACATCTGTTGAAAATTAATCAAAGGTATCAGTAGGACTGAAAGAAATGAAAGAGAAAAACTACAGGCGGAGGGTAGAAACAGTATCAGCTTAAATTTCTGTTCACTCTTGTGCATGTGCTTAGATTTATGCAATACAAACTGACCTCTGCAGTAGGAATACTCATGGTCCACAGAGGACTTCCATTAGTCTTCAAAGGATTGACATTAAGCATGTGGTCTTTGTTAAAAAAAGAACAAAAAATGAAACAAAACAAACACACACAAAAAAGCCCATACTTACCTTCAGTTCAGTTTGCATTTTAATCCATTTTTTATAATCATCAGGTTCCAGCAGAAATTCTGGCATAACATGAGGAAGATATGCTCCGTGGCTTCTGAAATCACAAAGCATGAAAAGTTAATAGGTAGGCAAAATAATCTTTTTATGAGCAGTTCAAGTTTTTCAACCTGCTCAACATGTGTAATTTCTGAGTACACTTTGGACTAATGACCCAGTTCTACTAATTGCTTTAGATAGTTTCTGTTAATGAAGTTCATGTTCAATTCCTATGCCTACAACTAAATGCTAAAAGCACCTACAAGTATGGACAGACTGGTTTCTTTACGAGATTTGTTCCTCCATAAAGGATTTATTATACCACAAAGCATCAAAACGTACAATAACTATTTCCATGTGAAAGCCAATTCTACATTAGTAGCATTAAAACTTGATGATGTTTTTATCTGTCTGCAGGTCTGATATTGGAAGTCTTATGGGTGTAAGCACAGGTATTTCAAAACTCTATTAAACTGACCTGCCATCTGTTCTCAAGTGACTGATATATGCAATAGGAAAAGCAATTGCGGTACCAAAAGGCAACTTCCCCAGATTGAATACCAAAAAAAAGCTAACTTCCAAGTGATGAAAGACCATTCTTTATCTCAAATGACACAGTTTAAACAAATGTTGCTGGAAAGAGGGGGAAATAATTAAGAATTCTTAAGTTTATTTTTCTCAGGGGGCAGAAAAGTTTCCTGACTTTGAGGTTAGAAAGATTATCCTAGCGTACCTAGATTTACATTGCTCTCTGTGTTTTTAACATGGCTAATGTGAATAATAATCAAGCGAGCCTCTCTTGTTATATAAACAGTCTTTTATTCAAATGAAGTGATCATACCTTTCTGGTACCATACAGTCTGAATTCAAATTACTTCATACATTAAGAGTCATACATCACAGTTTGAAATTATGCTGGTAAATTTTTTATTATGCAGCATGGTTTTTGTCTCCATATTTACATAGTGACGTTATCTTCTCAGATTATTGAAATTTCCTGTTTCATACAATTATGTAGCATGTTTTTTAAAACACACATATTTTAAGCAAGATCCCAAAATAGCATCAAGTTAATAGTCTCGTTCTAAAATTCACCATATCTGGAATTCCCATTCACCATTAAGTCATAGACTCTGCCACATGAAATCCCTTTAAAACTTCAGTTCTTCCCAAATGGTAAAAGAAGGAAGCTATACAATATTCATATTTTCAGGTGTCCTATCTTTCTTTCACATGTTTTTACCTGGTAAATATATGGGAATAGGTGTCATCTACAATTTTCATCCTCAGAGAAGTTATATAACAATGTTACATATCATCATACTAAAGATGGATTCTATATACTGAATGTTCTCCTAATTAGCTGCATTTTGTTATTGAGGAACACTGTCTTAAAAAAATTCTTCCTTATTAAGGTTATTATTTAACATGATGCCAGTCATGCCAGTACTTTCACAGTTAAGATTATTTTCGTTGAGACACACAGCTTGCAACAAACTAGCTGTGTTGTAAAATACCCAAACTTTTCCTTTACTCCTGTGGTAAGGCACCAAGGAAGCCTTTTCAGGGAAGGAAAATAAAACTGATAGTTGGAAAGTTGCTTGAAACAGTGAACAACATGCACCTGCTTTCGCAAGCAGAAAATTTGAAAGATTAATTATGCTTTATTTGAACCATGCTGACCAGAAAGCAGTGGTTGGGAGAAGAAAGCTCAGATCTGTGTTTCTATTCTCAGAGTGCTCTCCTGGGCTTCCTTCAGAAGGAAATTTGCACTGTCCGCAAATCACACTGAACATGCAGGATAGGAGATCACAGATTAATTACTCTGGATGTCTTATCATCATTACATACAGTCATGCCAGCAGTGCGAATATCAGACATTTTTGCACTAGGATCTATAAACACTCTTAAATCACAACGTTGTGAAGAAATGCAAATATTCTAGGTGATCCTAAAATGCACAAGTAGGAAAAGCATATCCATAAATCAGGAACAATGAAGAAATCTGACAGGATTCACACAAACTAGTAGAGGCAGAAACTAACAGGATGTGGTAATGCCAAGTGAATACTAATCAACTTAATCATTTAAAAAACCATGTGAGGTGCAGATTAAGAGCCTGTAAGGGTATAGTTGCCCAGGGATTTCTTTGTTCAGGGTTGCCCATCCCTCTCTGGAGGCACCTAGCTGGAGTTGACCCTGCTGCTGTACCTCCCTATTAAATTGTTTATTTTTATAAGATCTGGTGCCTGAGAGTCTGCTTCAGGAAACCTAGGGTTCAAACTTTGGAGTAAACCAACACCAGACACCCACACGGAAGGTTTCGAACTTCAGAGCAAACTAACATCAGACACCCAGACGGAAAGTGAATTAGGTATAAGCATGATGAAACTGAAATCTCAGCTAAGCGATATAGAGAATCAGGTGGGCACATATAATCCTTTAGCAAAACCATTCTAACACAATTTTCCCTCTGTATGTTTCCTCCATGTAGTAAGTAATAGAGTTAACCTTGCCATCAAAATCTGTAAAGTCGCACTTTTATCTAAACACTCATCTGCAACATCAGTGCATTGAGAAAGCTTATGGGATTTAATGAGGTGACGCGGTGTGCCCAGGAAGATGGAATTATTGAAAGTACAATTCCATAATGGAACAGAAAGAGGTATCTGAGATAATGGTAGATAAACAGCGCAGCTTCTTGTTTCCATAAAGTTTTTAAAAGTTGTAATTTATCACTCTTTGGAATAGTTCTGGTGAGAGATACCCATGAAAAGATACCTGTTGATGGCACTACACTGACTGTCGTTATGCTTTCAGACCTTAAAACATCAGAAACATTGTTGGGTCTGCTGGTATTTCACTGCAGCTACTGGCCTTTCTGTTACACAAGGAGCAGTGTGCATTGGTCTCATTTATGAGTTCAGATACAGCTACATCTCTGTCCATTTTTCTCAGATGAAAAGCTTGCATTCAGAACAGTAAGTAAATGACAGGTTTAAATGGCTTTATGGCCTCTTAAACACTAGGTGAGGTTGCTAAAAAGAAGCAGAGACGCTGTATTTCAAGGCTTCTGATGATCTCTAAGGATCTCATGACATTAGACTTTCTCCAAAGTTAATTTTCTTCTCTGTTTCACTGCAGTGACAGCCAAGAAAGATGAAGAAGAATTTATTAACCTTTTGTGATTTGCACCATCTTTGACAGTTGTTCCATATTATGTGACATGATAAGATTATCAATTAAGATAGTTAATAGCAAAATTTGTTCAGCAGCAGGAGTAGTGCTTCCATTTCTTGGCATATTATTAATATGAAAGACTAATAGATTACAAAGTGTCTACTAAATTTTTGCTAAAGCCAGTAGTTACAGGACAAAGAGCATCAGTGGAATGGTAAGATCATCAATGGCAAACCTGCCCTAACTGTCTACCGAGTCTGTCTAAGGAATGAGGTTGAGAGTCATCTTCTGTCATAATTAAGGGAGCAGAGTTCCTGTGGAATTCCTGTGTTGGATATAACCCTACCAAAGGACACCACAATTAGCACAAGCTACAGAGAATAAACTTGATAAAAACTAATTAAAATTTATAATACATAAATCTTAGATCATAAAAGATAAAGTATAACTGAAACCCTAAACCTACTGCATACTGTTGAGTTGGAATTACATTTGAACTATCCTAACAAAAAAAGTGGAAATGAAAGAGACCCATATTTCATCATACATGTACTTACTTAAGGAAAGCAAGCAATGCAGAATGCTGCCAGTGGAGCTGTAACATTCGTTCAACTGGATCAAGGGGCAATGACTGGCTCGATGGAATACCTGGCAAAAACTGTCCACTCAGATGGAATAACATGTCATAAACAGTCTTAGTATCTTTGCCACGGTCTTGTCTAAAAACCTGTTCTTGAGAAGAGGTCATCTGGACTTTACACACATCACTAAGAGAGAAAAAGCTTGTGATATTATTCTTTTAAATGCACAAAATGAACTAACATTATCTACATCACAACGATAAATTTAATAAACCATGAAGTAAAAACAGCAGAAAGAAGTTTGAAAAGTATACCACCTTTTCCTTTTTACAGAACTTTCAGAATAATGTAAGAATTTTGAACTGTATGGACCATTTAATAAGTAAATGTGAAATATTTCCTAAATAAATTGTTTCTCACTGCTTTCTGCAAACATAACTTTGATTTCTATCATGTTTATTAATGCCCAGGAAATTGGTTTCATTATTCAGTAGCAAGCTAGAAAAGATCAATTAAGTGATGACATTAGGACTGATACATTTCCAGGGTGTTTGCAAGACTGTTGATTGTGAAATTTGCTTTCCCATCTGTTTCTTAATCTTCAGACTATGTGGGGGGGAAAAAAGACATATTGCTAAAGCACTTATTTATGCCACCAAAAGAGGGACAATTACTAGAACTGTGTTCATTCTGGGAGGAGAATCAATTTTAGTTAAGAGGGTGACATATAGTTTGAACTGTATATTTAACATACATTGCATTATGATACACCACAAAATCATAGTTGGAAATATATTTTAGAAAATGAAAAAAAACTACCTGAATGGCATTTTCATATAACGAGCACATAGATGCTACAATTTTAATATACAACTCTGTGTTAGAGTGTGTTTATAATCCTCAGATCATACATACTGAAGTGCTAACATATTATTAGGCAGACATTAGTTAGCTGTAAGCAGAAATTATTTACCTTCTTAGTGAATATGGTATTGAAAGAGGATTTTGTCCCTTAGACCAACCAAAGAGAGTGAACCAATTCTTAACAGCAGTTAGTGTTTTCTGAAAGAAAATGAATTCCTTTTTGCCCTCATCAGGAAAAAAAGACGATTCAAACTCATTTTCTCTCCCACCACTTTGACTGACAGCTTCACTCTCTTCACTCCTCTCTTCATCACTCTCTTCACTCCTGTCTTCATCACTCTCACTTTCAATAGTATCTGACTCTGGATGACACACAAAAAAATCCAGAAAGATTCTTTATCTCCCTATTTTTGTCTAGTACAAAACCTTTTTTTTTAGCACACATTTGTTTTCAGAAAACAAAAAACTGTCAGACAACGAAATATCAACTTATTTCAGGAGTAAACAATTTAAGTGACATGTACACATCTTGAGAATAGAAAAAATTATATTCTTGGAATCAGATTTCACTTAAAGAAAAAAATATTACCCAATCATAAAAAATAAATTCAGGCATATCTTACAAGAACACAACCAGCAATCTTAAAGATTGCTGTTACAATTGCTGTCTTAGATACAGTTCCAATAGGTATAGCTTTATTAGCTAGTCAACACCATCCCTTAGCATGGCTCAGTAACTGACTTGTATTCAAACAGTTTATCAGGTACTGTATAGGCATAACTAAGCCTACACCCCCATCTATAAGTCTTCGGACTTTTCTCCCTTCTCCTCTCCTAGCTTAGATTATCTATTTTAAGAACTACTAGCTGTTAGCAACATCAACAACAATATTATTGCATAAAAGATAACAGAACAATTTTACTCATAGCACAAATAACTTAGGTTATTCCGTCCTTGAAGGTGTATTTTAATACCACTGTTGCAGTTTCAGTGTTTCATTAAATGATGCAAAAATAAAACTAATACTTTGGACAATGAATAAAAACATTGTTAGGATTTAAGAAAAAAAACAATACAATACTAAGAAAAGAGAGTCACCCTTTTTAAGATAATAATGCAGTCAGATCTGAGGTTGTGCTGTTATGCCAGCTGACAAGATTACTTTCCCCATCCTGCCACTGCTACCTTCACCAGATATTATTGCCTTTCCAGATCTGAAACTGAGTTGCTCTTTTGAGCTCTTTTTACATCATTCCATTAAAAATGAACCCTGTTGGTAAAGAGCTACTATTTAATCTGTTTAACTACCCTTATTTGTCTTGGCAATATCTTAGAGAATGATCACAACAACATCAGCAGATCTACAAGAGTGGAATTCTAACAGTAATAAAACAGAAGCAGTAACTTCTGTCGTGTTAACTTCCCAGTTAGAAAACTAGCAGCTGAAAGAAGAGCTGTCAACAGCCTCAGATTCTAGTCAGCTGACAGCCTTACAGAAGTTCTATTACTTCTAGTTCATACGGAACAGCACCTTAACAGAGGCTCATTGACAGTGGTCGTTTTTATACAGTACTTCACAAATGCAATAAAAATGTCAAAGTCTAACCTGAGCATACAACTAGACCTTTGCAGAACATAGTTTATTTACAGAGTGTATATGGTTGGTTAGTTCTTGACTACATAAACAACAGCCTTCTGAGTAACTATCCCTTAGTTTTGTTCAGTAGTTAATCTTCTGCTGACTCCCCCAAGGGCATGTTTATTGCAAGTGGGACCTTGACATTTTTTGATTGTTACTTTTTTTTTAATATTTTGATTAATTTCCCTTCCACTTAGACTGCTAAAAGGAAGGAGAGTTTTTTCTGCTTCTATACTCTCAGCCAGGTTTCCCATGGTGTCACAGGAGAGGACAGCTTCCTTAATATTAATTGATTATACATGCAGCAGCATTTCAGGCAAAACTTACACACATGAAACATATCTCTTTAAAACAGCAAGCTGAAAGGCAGTTATAAGAGCTTAAAATGTTCAAAGTGAACAGCTGCACTATACCCGATTGAGAATCTTCATAGGTTGAGTCAGTGGTTGCACCAAAGGAACTTGAAGAAATACTACAGGACTGTGATTGTGAAGTGTAATATGGATGCAAAATGACTTCTCCGCTACTGCAGTCTTTACTGTCTATAAAACAAGATTACAAGCTGCGATTGAGTAAAACATTTTACTGTCTGTGCTCTAACAGTTTATAAGCAGATATCTGCTTCTATATTTTTCTATTTTGTGCTTCAGTTAATCCAGTAACAGTTCTCATTTGACTCATGATGAAAACCTCACTTTGGTCACTAGACCAGGGACAAAAAAAATTACTTGCATTTTTGTTCCCACTAACTGTATGTTTTACAGGACGGGTCTTCACACTTGCTGAAAAGCACCTATCAGAACACCACCAATTCAAGAATTCTGAGTCATGAACACAATATTCCTAAGGAATTTTTGATCACAGCTCTATAATGACTCTCAACATATCAACCTCCTTCAGACTCAATAATATATATTTCACAAACCAAACTCAAAATTATGCTTTATCAATCCATCAATTCTGTCAGAATATATATTCTGACATTCTCATGTTGGCCTACGATAGGATTACAGTACCCTCTGCTAGCTGTCTCTGAGGTCAGTCTCCAGAACAACACTAGAAGAGGAACCCAGTCTCTAGAGAAGTAAACACACCAGCAAGAGAAGGAATAACTCTATGATGTTCATTAATTTTTGATTGCTGGCACCATTAATTGCATGGTTTGGAGCAAACAACACATGAGCACTGTGTCAGATATGTGGAAGCAAAGCTTTCCTTAAGAGCCTTCAAAGCCACTCTGTTGTATAGATATGGTTTGGTCACATTAAACAGCATTCCACACCAAAGCAGTCTATACAAAAACAGATTAAACAGACTCAATGAATTTAGTGGTAATGAGTGATAGCATAAATAAACCAATAAGCCATCAATACATAACAGAAATAGTCCATTATTAATGGGAGATCAGTTTTTATAAAATCATTGCTCCATTTTTGGTTCAATCCTCAAGGGAAGTCTACAAAGCATAAAATTGTGTGGATTTCTTCTCTTTTTGCTTTCTTCAAAACATATTCAACTGGTGTCCTAGAAATTATTGATAATCACTATCAATATAATTTAAATTATGTTAATTTCTTCTCTACTGTTTGGGCTGTTTTCACTACTCATACTTTAAAACCAAAAGATTTTGTAAGATTTAGGATTGTTCAATATTTTTCAATAAACATTACCTAATCATTTATATAAGTTCTCCTCATTTTCAACAAGAAAACAGAAGCTATTAACCTGTTTTAAAAATTTAATTGCAGTATCCTGTTGTAATTAATGAGGAAAAACACCATCTTGATTATAACATCCATGTTATCACACTGAAAACACTGATAATAATACTGGACATGCTAGAATTTTAAGAGGTAGAATGTTGACTGCTTACTGGTTCTCAAGATAACTTGTTGATCATAGCGGTGAAACGCCAAATATGGGTATAAAGTAAGAAGGCAATTCTCTGCTGTTGCAGCAACTTGAATTGAGAACCTGCTCAAAAAAAAAAAAAAAAAAGAAAAAAGGGACAGTTTTCTATTTAGCCATGATTATCAAGATATTTCAGCAAAAGAACAAAAGACAGAATCAAGGTGTCCAAAGAACTCTTCTCTTCTGTACTGGTTCAATAGGAGAGTGCACAGATTGGACTGTACATGCTGGAATGGTGAAGTTTAGTATCGTATTTCCACTTCATAGTTTTATTATGAGAATGCATGAATCATGAATCTGAAAGTCCAAGAGTTAGCAGAGTTTTCACAAAATAAATGAATTCTGTATGTCTGGAAAGAAAAAACAATTAAAATTACAGCTGTTATTTATGAGTGTCCTAAAGGAGTTCGCTGACTTGCTAAATATATCCTATAACTTTTAACAGGGGAAGTTTTCTGGAAAAGCAAGTTCTATTTTGATTTAATGTTTATTCTATAAGCCTTTACAGAAATACCAAAATAAATATTTAGACATAGATTCAATTTAAAAATGAGATATTGACTGCAATTGCTAGAATATAATAGAAATTGATGTGCATGCTCCAACATTCACTAGACTGTCTGTAACAGCTATATTAATGTGTAGCAATACACCTTTTAACCCTGTTTTCATACTTAACCTCAATCTCTCTGGGTGCAGTCAACAAGCAAATTACTGCCATCAATGGATCCTTGTTAGCCATCTCTATGTATGTTCTTAGGTCATTGAAACTGACAGGTAATTCAACTGAGTTTAGACATATATTGTTACATACCTGTTTTTGTACTCCATGTTAAAATATTAACTAACATTAACTATTTTGCCTAAGCTGTCAAAAATACAAAGAAAAATATATTTTAATACTTCAAACAGTATGCCATTACCCATCTTGTTTCAGTATATTAAGAATAACACATATTGAAAACATACCTTGCACAGAATAAAAGAAATTTCCTTTAAATTACATATTGAAGGACAAATTCCTATTTAATGTAAATTTATATTAGTATTAAAAGATGTCATAAGACTTTTCAGATTAATTTATGACACAATTAGCTTCTCCTGCTTTGTTACAGTATAATATAATCAAGGAAAACAGAAATGTTTTAAAAGTACCAGCAAGTAGCTTTTTCTTTCCCCTCTCATACTTCCCTCTCCAAACACAATATTCTTAGATACCACTTTCAGCAGAACTTTATTAACTAGAGAAAGGCTCCAAACAAAGTCCATACCCATCTTTCTTATTTGTAAATATTCACACCTGGATTACAGTTTCCTAGCTAGCAGTTATTTAAATTAATAATCCAGTGCTGCAAAGTTTTGGTTTGTTCTTAGGACATATCAATCCTATTGGAACTTGGCTGGGAGTGGGGCAAGGGCCTTGGCTAGTTATACCTTTTAGCATAGCATTTCTTTTAGCTACCTTCATTCTTTCTGGCTTTATTCAGCAAAAATCTCAGCAGCAGGACTGATGGCTATAAGAAGTATATCTACATTTATCTATATGTAGAAAATGTCCATTGGTACATGCCCAAACCAGGTGTCAGAGCATAATATATATTCTACCTTTACCAAGACATCTAAAGACAAACAGGATCAATAACTACAACACATAAATTTTGCCAGCTTCCAGCTCATTACTTTACTGTGATAAACGACAATTCTCAGTACTCTGCAGGCATATGTTAGGTTAACTTCAGACAACAGAATTGAGGGCAGGGGTGGAAGAAAGCTGTATGAAAGTTAATAAAAGACATACCTCTCAAGTTCTACAAAAGTAACTCATACACCTGTATTATTGGACTCAGTCAACTTTCTGATTTCCCTGATTGAGGTGAGCACCTCAGCCATCTCAACCCTCAGTGATGATCTGAGATTTGGACATATGCCAAATCTTCATTCATGCTCTGATTTGCACAGTAATGAAACACAGAAAAGCGTACTTGAGAACAACTGCAGTACATTTCAACTAGTTACCCAAATGCAATGAGTGATACTACTCAAAGCAAAGATACTACTGCACAACCTAGAATATAAAGAACAGCCATCACTACAGAATATTTGTGTTCAAATAAATGCCTCTGATCTTACAGTGCTGCTGCAAGAGAAGTTCCTCCCAGTTCCATGCCGTGATGGTGTGCTCTTCCCCCAAAATCTGACCTTTATATCCCGTAAACCTGTTCAAGCAATAACCACCAGTGGTGGCTGCAATAGATGTGTCTCGTCGTGACAGCTGCATCCAGCTCAGAATAGATTTGGGGGAGACAGGTAACAACACAATAGCCAAGGGCTATCTTGCATATCTTGCTCAAACAGCTGAGGGCTAGCTGAGCATGTGCCAACCAAAATACAACTAATATGCAAATATAAGTCAATTATCTTACTCCATAAACAGTGAACAGCCCAGGGC